ATATTTTAGAGTTGGGTGGAGAATAACGAGATAGGATTTGAAAATTAATAAAAAACATTAAAAATTACAAAAACACACCCACCCACCCATTAAATACCACAAGCGACCACTACTGGTGGTGGCGGAGGGTGGTCAGAGTCATCGTATGACGCACGACCATCTGGATCTGGCGGTTGTGCCGAGATGGTCTTTTCCAGCTAGATCACTATAGATCTGGTCGAAAAATGCCAGATCGGCCATGTTTGGTCATCAATGACAACAAAGATATGGCAGTCAACCATGGCCAAAGATCTGGCCATTCTTTGCCATTGATTTGGCTGAAAACGGGCAAATCCTTTTGGATCTAGACTGAAAAGATAGATTGGCGCACTACAGTAGATCCAGCGATAGTGCGCCATTTACCCGATTCCTGCACCTTCAGATGGTGGTGGCTGGAATCTAGAAGATGTGGGTGGATGGGGTGTTTTGTCAATTTCTAAACTTTTTTTCAGGGGGTGTTTAGTTAAATTAATAAACTTAAAGGGTTTAAAAATAATTGAATAAAATAATAGTATTTCCATAATAGGGAAACAAAATGGTATTTTGGAAATAGTATGAATAGGATAGTGAAAAATATTAAAACAAACGGACCTATGATATCGTACAAATTAACAAGGATAGAAACAGTAGGGGGGAATTGACTCGTAAGATTGCTGCCTATATGAATTTCTTGGAGGAACGTGTAACCCAACTAAACAACCATCGAGAAAAAAAAAACCTGAGTGTGAATTGAATCATATAATTGAAGGCTCTTTTTCTTGCGTGAGGGGTGTTTTTCAAGGGGTGTTTTCCGATGATGGTGGCCGAAATGGCAAATGTGGGTGGATGGGGGTGTTTTTGTCAATTTCTAAACTTTTAGGGGTGTTTAGTTAAATTAAAAAACTAAAGGGTTTAAAAAAATTGAATAAAATATAATAGTATTTCCATAATAGGGAAACAAACTGGTATTTTGGAAATAGTATGAAAGGATAGTGAAAAATATTAAAACAAACAGACTCTATGTATCGTACAAATTAACAAGGATAGAAACAGTAGTGGGTAATTGACTTGTAAGATTACTGCCTATTATGAATCTCTTGGAAGGAACGTGTAACCACACTAAACAACCATCAGAAAAAAAAGAACCTGAGGGTGAATTGAATCATATAATTGAAGTCTCTTTTTTCCTTGCCATGAGGGGTGTTTTTCAGGGGGTGTTTTCCAATGGTGGTGGCGGAATCTGGCAAATGTGGGGGGATGGGGGTTTTTATCAATTTCTAAACTTTTTTAGGGGGTGTTTAATTAAATTAAAAACTTAAGGGGTTTAAAAACGTGAATAAAATATAATAGTATCTCCATAATAGGGAAACAAATTGGTTTTAGAAAAATGATGAATAGGATAGTGAAAAATATTTAAACAAACAGAACCTATGCTATGTACAAATTAACAAGGATATAAATAGTAGTGGGTAATGACTCGTAAGATTACTGCCTATCATGAATCTTCTTGGAAGGAACATGAACCCAACTAAACAACCATCAAGAAAAAAAAACTGAGTGTGAATTGAATCATATAATTGAAGGCTCCTTTTTTCCTTGCCATGAGATCCCTTAGTATTGTTTGAAGGTTCATTTTTTCCCTCCCATGAGATCCCTTGGTATGTACTTTAGTAGGACCAAAATTATCTTATTTCTTTGTGCTTTGATAGGACAAGTCAACGACTTTTTCCCACCCAAATATGCTTTAATAGGACGAGTAACAACTTTTTGCCATCCAAATAATGGTTTGGGTGGGGAAAAAGTTGTTAACTATCATTTGGGTCAATTGCCAACATTGACGGAGTCGACGAGAATAGAGTTTGAGGATTTTTGAGTGATAACTGGGAATGAGAATGATAATGTGTGGGGTCGCAAACTGTGAACGATTCCAAAATCGAAAAACGAAAGTTACAGATATAAATTTGAGTAGTAAAGTGATATTTTAAAAGTTTCTAGGTGAGAAACCGTCATTAAGCTATATTGGGGTGGGAAAAATTTGTTCACTCATTAGGACCCAAAACCTAGATTATCTTGTTCTTGGGAATTCATCTCTCGCCATGGGCCGAAATATTTGAATAATATACCTGCAAAGTTCTTACGTGGCAGCAAATTATGGTTTTTCCCACCAAACACCAGGCCCACACAAATGAATAATTAGATTTTACTGTTTACACCATTTGACCTTCGGATTCCAAAAACAGAAATTAAGGCTCCGTTGGTTCACTTTTTTACACTTTTAGAAAAGTTTTGGAAAAAAAGTTAAAAAAAGTTGAATTGGGTGGGTATTACGATGTAGGATTTGAAAATAAATAAAAATACCCTCTATATTTGCTTATTTGCTTATTTACTAAAAACCCCCCTATGTTTGTTTATTTACTAAAAACCCCTATAATAAAATATTAAAAGTTAACAAAAACACCCCCAACCCACCCATAAATATGGACAGTCAGCCACACCACCGGAGGGTGGTCGGAGTCGTCATATCGGCGCATGACCGATTGGATCTAGCCGGTCATGCGCTAATATAGCCTTTTCTAACCAGATCCATGGTGGATCTAGCTGGCAAATGCCAGATCTACGGCTAGATCTAGCCATTGACGGCCAGATCTGACTGTATTGCTCGTCAACGATGACCATGTGTGGCTGTTGTTGACGACTGACTACGGCCAAAGATTTGGCCTTTTCTGCATATCACTCGTGGATCTGGCCGGAAAAGGATAAATCAACGCACTATTGGCCAGATTCAGTCGGTAGTGCGCCATTATATCAGATTTTGGCCATTTTTCGACGATGGTGGCCAGAATTAGTAAATATGGGTTACTAGGGTTTTTTGTAATTTCTAAAAAAATATTTAGGGGTATTTAATTAAATAATAAATTTAGGGGGTTTAAAAATAATAAATTGAATAATATTGTGAGTTTTTGTAATTTTACTGTTTAATTTATTAGGAATACTAATAGTAGTATTCCCAAATGTGAGCCAAACGAAGCCTAAGATTTTATTTTTTTTGCGGACGGAATACAACTGAGAATTTTTATCGTTATTTACTGATTTATAATTGCGGAGATTGATTATAATTAAAGGGGGGGAAGATTAGTAAACAAAGTATGAGGCTATATAATTATATCGAACATTGTGACAGAAGTTGTTTCTAGAATATAATAATTGATCGTCATAGTACTGTTGGGTTTGGGTTTTCCTCGTGTAAAGTGTGGCTTAAAACCAAATCTTGTTAAAGTCGATGTAGTTTACTTTATAATTAGGGCTTTGTGTAAACAGGAGAAAAAAGTGAAGAGAAATGAAGAGAGCTGCTGCAGAAAAAAGAGGAAAAGAGAAAAATTTCAAATGAAGGGACATTTATGGTCAGATTGAGCTCAAATTTTACCTGCTCTTGACTCAAGCTAGGGATGGCAACCGCCGCAACCCACCTTGGATTTACTTCAAAGCTCACCCTATGTTTGGGACAAATATTTTGTCATGCAAATCGTACAAGTTCCGTTGAATCCTAATCTTTGCCGTTTTGTTTTGTTTCCATATGGTCGCCGACGTGACACATAGGAACCTCCATGTGCACATACTGGACCCCTATGTGGCTATGTTCAGGGGCGGATTCAGCCTATCATGGCCTATCCTCAATTTTATTTAAAAAAATATTAATATATATAATTTCTGGATTTTGATCAATCCTAATAAAAATATTAATGTATAATTAATTTTTATTTTGACCTACCCAAAAAAAAAATTATTCTGAATCCGTTACTGGCTATGTTACTTTGCGTTATTAAAGGAACATTACTTTGATTCACATGCATCAAAATTTTCTCTGGTGGGGTTCACGTAACATTTAGACCTACTCTAGTAATTTTACGCGTCTTTGTCAAATAAATACGTGTACATTATTACCGATAACAAATAACTAGAATGAATAAATAACACGTGTGCATGCAACTAACAGTTTTTTGTATGCATTTTAGAACAAACAAAAACCTAATTAAACATTTGTTCAATTCAAACACTCAAAGAGTGACAAGTGATTCCAAATGATGAGTGAGATCAGGAAAGGATTCCAATTAAACAAAAAAACCATTTCTTTCTTTCTTTTCTTTTTTTAAAATCATTGGTTAATATCATCACGATAATGTACAAAGAGAGGGTGGGTGATAAAGAAAAGTTTGAAGGGTTAAAACATTAATTGATATTCATTTATTTTTATCTCATGAATTCATTAATATAAATTACACCTTTCACATTCTATCCTCAAATTTTCATGATAAATGATATCTACTTTTATGTGATATTGACATGCACATGGTAATTTAATTTAATTTANTTTAAAATCATTGGTTAATATCATCACGATAATGTACAAAGAGAGGGTGGGTGATACAGAAAAGTTTGAAGGGTTAAAACATTAATTGATATTCATTTATTTTTATCTCATGAATTCATTAATATAAATTACGCCTTTCACATTCTATCCTCAAATTTTCATGATAAATGATATCTACTTTTATGTGATATTGACATGCACATGGTAATTTAATTTAATTTAATTTAGTAAAGGAATATAACTTTTAAATGAGAAAATCACAAAGTATATTTTGGTAAGGGTCGGTCCATTGACCCTCCCGAAGCATGACAAAATAACGAAAATCTCACCATTGTTAATGAACTTTTAGTGAGTCGTTAAAATTTACGTCATTAAGTGTTTGTAAATATTACAAAATTACTTTTCAATCATTTATTTTAACACCTAAAAATTAACAATGGAGAGATTTCTGTTATTTCTAAAGTTTTATGAAATTTTTTGTTATTTTATCATATAATTTCGGGGAATATTTCATTAACTTTTTTTGGTAATGTAAAACACCCTTTTTAGTAATTAGACGTTAGAAATAAAGTAACTGATACTTTCGTAAGGATCTGGGCTTAGATCTCCGAATGGCAAGGCCCAGTTACTGCGTTTCCCCTATTGTTTAAACAAAATCCAATTTCCGTCCTCTTCGTTTTGTGGTTCTCATTTCTCCTCAGAGTGGGACTGCCTCCCAAAGCAATCTGATTTGAGGCCTGGATTTCATAAAGAGTTTTCCGGAGGAGGTAAAGGGTTTTGTCAAATGTTCGTTTATATTTCTATATTATTATCACAATAAATGGCGTCAAGTTCTTTATTCTGGTTTCCAGCCCTTCAATTATCATGATTGATTGCTGAGAGCAAATGAAGACTTGAAGAAGCGTTCAATATCTAGGTTTCTCTGTCAGCGTGTTATATAATTGTATTTTAACTTGAAATTCGCATAAATTGTGTATATGATTGCATCATGGTTTACTCATTTCAATTTGGGCATAGGCAGAATCATATTTAGATGTAAGAAATGGAATTCAATTCGTTGTTCTTAGTTTTATTTAATTTCAGCTTTTCAAATTTTTTTTTTTTTTTTATTTTTTTATTTTATTTTTTTTTTTTTGGGATTAAAATTATTAATATACCTTCAAATTGTTACTAGGCATGATTTTATTATTTTTAATGACCAAGAATGATGATATTGTTCCCGAGTTAATGAAGAAATGAATTAGTCATTTGATTTGTAGAACTATTTTCGGTGGCATATCCTGCTTGTGGCAAGCGACTATATTACTTTCTTTTTCTTAGAAACTAGTATTCACTTTATCAGATACAGTGCATGCACATTAAGAACGTTTCTTAATTTTAATATAGTTGCCATTGGCAGTTAATGGCAACTTTATCTTGCAAGAGGCTAACTCTAGAAGTTGATGTTAGCTTGGTGAACGAGAATCAATCATGGTCTCTATGTTTAAGGATATGAATAGTATGCCTTAAAAATTCCTTGTTTATGTGGTTATCCTTATGCTGGGGAATGCCAATTTTCTTTATTTCTTCTGTTTGCTTATATCTCGTGCTGACTATTATATTTTTCTTGAACTCCCTTTGTATTTGTGGTTGAAGTGCATAGTTCTTACTGTTGCTAAAATTCCAATTTCAGCGAATGGCATTTTTAGCTCAGGCTCCATCCACAATGTCAACCATCAGTATTCACCGAGTACTCCCCAGAAACCTGAAATTGCTAAAATTCACAAATGTGATCCATGTAGTTACTGTCTCTCCTAATCATGTTAAACACCCCCGTGTCTGCTGCACAAATATAACTCCTTGGGAATCTTCACCAGTCACACAAGCTCCCACTACCACTGATGATGCTGATTATAGTTTTTTGAATAAAACTTCCAATATATTTGAAACTCTGAGTTCTGAAAACTCAGCTGAAGCAACAGCAACAAATACTGGAGGAGTCACAGATGCAAGTAATCAGCCATTGGTGCAGTTTCAGTTTCTTAAATGGCCGATGTGGCTTCTGGGTCCATCTCTTCTACTCACCACAGGCATGGTACCCACTTTGTGGCTCCCGCTATCATCCATATTTCTTGGCCCCAACATAGCCAGTCTGCTTTCTTTGATTGGACTTGATTGCATTTTCAATCTTGGTGCAACCCTTTTCCTTCTCATGGCAGATTCATGTGCCCGGCCAAAAAAGCCAACAGAGGCCTTCAATAGCAAGCCTCCTTTCAGTTACCAATTCTGGAATATGGTTGCAAATGTGACTGGATTTATAATCCCCTTGATGATGCTGTTGGGATGCCAGAAGGGCCTTGTCCAACCCCAGGTGTCTTTCATCCCATTTGCAATTCTTTTAGGTCCCTACCTACTGCTTCTTTCAGTACAGATTTTGACCGAGATGTTGACCTGGCATTGGCGTTCACCGGTATGGTTGGTGACCCCAGTTGTGTATGAGTCTTACCGTGTGTTGCAGTTGATGAGGGGTTTAAAGCTTGGGGTTGAGCTTAGTGCACCAGCATGGATGGTGCATACCATTAGGGGTTTAGTATGTTGGTGGGTGCTGATTCTTGGTATTCAACTCATGAGGGTTGCTTGGTTTGCTGGTTTTGTTAGAGCTCGTCAGCAAAAGTCTTCTGCACCTGCCAATGGCTAATGAATTATTGTGCTATCAAAGGATTAGATGAAGAATGGAGGACTCAAATACAGATGTGTGAATATACTATCAAATAAAATGTAGATTGGAATATATCTGTTTGTAGTAATCTTTAAAGACATCCATGCTTATACTGTTATACATATAGACAGTGAGAGATGATTGTTACATCAACGTTGTGGTTATGGCCTGTTAATATAATTAGGAGTGGTGCACATTTTGGCAATATGATGACTTTGTCAATAGGCATATCGCGACAGAGGCATAATTGTTGGATGATAAAAAAATTATGCTACTGTTTGTTTACTTAGTAATGAATACCGTTTAAGCATTATACATGGAAGAGCTTTGTTATTTTGAGTGGATACATGGACTTGCACTTCTCTTGTGACAAAATCTAAAGGCAAGAAAAAGTGTATATCTGATGGAATCCCATATTCCCATGTAATTTCCAAGACCAAATGATACATATACCGGCTACAGATTGGCCTGGATTAATAAGGACAGAGGGTTTAGGGTTTAGGGCCCCTTTTGGAGTGGGGGAGTTCTAACAGTAAACGGGAGGCAAGCCAAGATGTTATCGTAATATCGTTATGTGACTGTTTAAAAGGGAAAAATATTGAAAAAATTTGTTTAAAAAAAGACATCGAAAAATGTAGAGAAAAAGTAATGCTATCATAATTACTTCTCTGATCACATTTGACTTGAATTTTTTTTTTTTTTTTTTTTTTTTTTTTTTTTTTTATCTTTGGCCTCTCTTAAAAAGCATAGCCATATCCACCATGATCTCTATGGGCACTTTGATAATGATATGCACTTACCAGTGTACTCAATAAACCAGCCGTATTGGTTTTGTAGTTTCACCTTATAGAGTAATTATGCCAGATTTTGATCGATTGTTTATAGCAATTGAATATATTTTGGTATCTCTAATTAATTATTTGATTAAAGAGTCAGAAAGACTCTTTGTCTAGTTGTCATTAACAACAGTGTCCAGTCAACGCATCTGGGTTTGCTTGTGGGTTGTGTATTAAAAGACAATAATACCCCTGCTTTGAACCGAAGAAACTGTAAATTCCCGTACCGGGAATAAAAATAAAACACAAGTTGAAAGTAAGACGAACATCACTGTCCCACGTTGTTACTTTGCATCTCTCCTATTTAAAAACGACTCTCACTCCTTTCAATCTCTCGTCGCTTGTTCTCTCACTCGTTGGTGAACCAGGATCATCCTCTTAACAGGCGCCGGGAACTTCCAGTAGCTATCTCTCTAAATCGATTGCGTAGCGATGAGTACTGGCGAGCTTCTCAGTATCGAACCTCAGGAGCTCCAATTCCCCTGTAAGCCTCTATTTGCTTTCAGATCCGTAATTTTGTTTTAAATGTTTCTTATTAAGAGTTCTAATTTTTTTTTTTTTTCAAAAAAAAAAAAAAAAAAAGTTGAATTGAGGAAGCAGATCTCGTGCTCTCTACAGTTGTCAAATAAGAGCGATAATTATGTGGCTTTCAAGGTATTTCATACCATTCTCAAATTTTACTTTATTTAATACAAGTTCAAATTCTACTTGTGAGTTCCGTGTATACCTAGATCTTCGAATTTAATTTTGAAATTATTGTGCCCTAGAGATTTGTAGTCTTGACTTCCGTAATTGTGATTGTAAAATTTGTGAGCTTTTAGGTTAAAACGACAAATCCAAAGAAGTACTGTGTTAGACCCAACACTGGAGTTGTTTTGCCCAGGTCTACATGTGATGTCATAGGTAATTTCTAGACTTGTAATTATATATTTATTTAATTAATTCTTTTTGTTAATGGAAGAACTGATTAAAAAAAAAACGATTTAGTTACAATGCAAGCACAAAAGGAAGCACCTGCGGACATGCAATGCAAAGACAAATTTTTACTTCAGAGTGTAGTTACAAGTCCTGGAGCCACTGCAAAGGATATAACTCCAGAGATGGTATTGACATATATGAGTGTGGTTTTGGTTTGAGTATCTATTTAAGGCTTACTTGGTACAGTTTTGTGCTTAGGGAAATGGGTTTTTCTCCTTTTTTTTTTTCATTATTTTTTTTTAGTTCAATAAGGAGGCAGGACATAATGTTGAAGAGTGCAAATTGAGGGTTGTTTATGTAGCTCCACCTCGGCCACCATCACCTGTTCGAGAAGGGTCTGAAGAAGGTTCTTCGCCTCGAGCATCTGTGTCAGACAATGGGAATTTGAGTGCTTCTGAATTTTCAGCTGTAAGTATCTAAGGTTTTATTTTTTTCGGAATATTAAGTATAAGGTTTTGGTTACTAAATTTATGTAAGTATTGTATTGTAAACTTTATTATTTCCTTTTTGGTTTGGTTTTTATTTTGAGGTTTTGCATGTTCCTGTAGGCTTCAAGAGCTTTTGTTGAGCGACCTGAGCCACAAGATAACTCAACAGAGGTATCCCCTTTATTTATCATCTTTAACCCCTTTGGTATTTAATTCCTTAAAATATCGTATCACTATTTAATCTAGGTTCTACTTGACAAAACATGTATGTGATGCTTAGTGATCAGTCGTTGTGCTTGATTTAGATTTTCAATTGTTTTTTTTGGGGTTGTGTAATTGGAGAGATAGTTGCCTTTTGAAACCATGTAAGGTTTGGAATATGTATGTATGTTAGATCCAAAGAAAACGGTAACTTATTAACTACCATAACCTGAACTTGATGAAACAGTTGACTGGATTTTGGTTATGTTTTTAGTTTCTATAATTGAGATGACATATAATAAATATTCAAGCATTTAATGAATTTTCTAATTTTCTCACCAATTAAAAGAACGAAATTTGCTTTTTGTGTCTTTCTTCTGCTTTTAAATGGCAACATTAAGTTTGCCTAATTACCTTTTCTGTTTATATCAAAGTAGTCACTTAGAAATTTTGAGGTGTACATGCGGCCAAGAAATGTTTTCATACAGATTTAACTTTCCCAGTTATAGCTAAATATCCATAGTGTTTCTTGGTTCTTTATTCTGAGTTATGCTTGCGATTTCAGGCTAGGGCTCTCGTTTCAAAGCTGACCGAAGAAAAAAATTCTGTTATTCAGCATAATAACAAGCTTCAACAAGAGCTGGTAAGGTTCTTTTTATGTTATTTTATCTTTGGTGGAGCCTATACTTGCAAAATTGTTAATAGTGTTGATCAAGTGGCCTAGCAGAGTCTGGCCTTGTTTTTTGACGCTCGATCAGGCCCATTTGGATGGACACAATTATTTTCTATACTCTGATACTTCCGGTTGTTTTTTATTTGTTGACTTACCAATTCTTGAGCCTAGCTTGGCTTCCCTGTTGGCCCAGTTTGTCATGCTTGACACTAAGACTACCACCAATTTGTATGACTTGTCTGGGTCTAGTTTCCTGGACAATTAGAAACTCCCTAAGCATTAACTGATATGTTGCAACATTAGAAATTCTAGTTTAATTGAACTTTGTATCTTGCAATAATGTCTGGAATACACTGTTTGGAAGATATTTCAACACTGTTGCTACAACCACTCTGATTAATTATTGCCCAAGTATACTCGTTAGGGATCATCAGAGTTCAGCTTAACAAGGTCTTATGTATAACATAAATGATAAGCGAACTTTTCTGCACCATGAACCTGTGGGTGGGGAAAGAGGGTATTGTTTGCTAGTTTTTTGCGTTTTGAACTAACTGCACGGAATGAGGAAGAAGATTTTGGTCAACTTCCTATGATATTTATAATTTTTTTTCCCTGTAATGAGAAGGGACTTGACAGAATTTGGTAGGAATTAGGATAGCAATGATAGGGCTGGGACTACTGGATCTTATGGAGGGAAGTCAACAAGAAAAGGTTTATTTTCCACATAAAAGAATAAATAGAAGCGAGAGAACATGTCCCAAAGAATGTTTAGGACTGTGGGCAATTCCTATGCTCATACAATGATTGCAGCTAGCTGTAATCCTTTTATTTCTCTTTAATCTAGATGTCACCTTAAATGGGATCTGGGCCAAAACTTACCAACCCACTGTTTTCATTCTCAGCCCCACAGGATGCAATTTAATTTCATTGATACAATGTGATTGGAATCAGATTGGTTGATGGGCAAAATGAATAATGGCCTTCATAGTTACAACTGTTTACACTGGTGGTGAATTATGAGTTTATTCCTAAATTATTGTAGCATCATAATTCGTACATTGATTAGTGTTAAACACGAGCTTTACTTTGAAAATTTTTATGCGCAGGATCTCTTAAGGCGTCAAGCCAACAGAAGTGGCACAGGTATACCAATAATGTATATTGTTATAGTTGGCTTGGTTGGCATCATTTTGGGGTACCTTTTGAAGAAGATTTGACCATCAGAGTTTTTAATTTTTAGTGGGTACCGAAGCAAAAATGAGATGTAGAGATTTGAAAAAGCAGATGTGACTGATTAGCAGGAACTTGTCTTCAATGTGTTAGTGGTCTGTATCAGAACCAGAACAACTTGTCGAGTGTGTGACCTATAAAGGTAGCCTCTGTTCATTAAGTTATTAGGTAAAAAAATCTGGTGGTTTTCATTCTGTGATGTTAACTAAATGCCCTAGACTTTTCAATATGCTGTGTAGACGGTAATTTCAGAGGAAAGCTCTAGTAGAATTCCGGATGTTCTAAATCAATACGCAATTTTTTAAAATTTAAAATTAAACTATACAAAGATCTTATTCTCCTAAAGTTCATCGTTTTCATGGTATATGTACTTGTTATACCAGCGATTAAAATACTCGCTCAAGGAGGCTGCTGCGCATACATAAATGTACACAAAGCGAACACAATCCCGAGGCAGCAAGGCAAAATAGTGTGTGCTTAATCAAGATCTTAACGAGGTGAATCTTTGCGGCGCGCCAAGTAAATCTTCATGAGCGTAGTGAAAGTTGATAGAATCTAACGGTAAATCTTGGCGCGTCAGAGATTATCACTTAATAAATGTCCAACGGTAACAAATATGATTACTTCATTGGTGTCAATGTCACTTAAGAATACCGCATCAGATTCACCGGAGACGGTGGAGAGGACGATCACCGACAGAACCCACCATTCATATATTACCACCGATTATTTTCAATTCCTCTGGTATTTCTCCGCCAATATGGTTAACTCTTTTGTCACATCTCCCACAGGAAGCCTAACTAAAAAGACTGAATGAAAAATAAATAACAAAATAAATGAACCACTCTACCAAAGAAATTGAAGCCACAAAATTGAATAGTCTCATCGCTCTCATTTGAGAATAAAATATATAACCAGATCATGAGCGCAATAAATAAATAAAAAAGTTAAGTTCCTGAAAGAACTGAAAAATCAATGAACACCCCATTTTTAATATGAGTTCATACAAGTTAGGGGATGGAGGGGTGTTAAGTTCTTCACTGATTACTGGCTAAATTCAAACTCAACCAATAATCAATGATTTAAGATCTTATGTAAAAGCATTTGACAAGATTTTATGGTAGAGAGGGAAAATCACATCAAAATCTTTGTGAAACAATGTTAATTGATTTCCATGAAGATTCTGATACATCTTTCTCTGCCTATGTAATAATAAAGAACTAAAAAAAATTGTCATATAAAAACATAATCACCACTTTCTCACCGTGTGTGGAAAATGGACACTGTAGAACTAGATTTTGTGACTTTAAATCCATCAAGAATTATCAGATGCTTGTATCATATTGCAGCGGCTGACAATCTTCCGAAAATCATCAAGATTTAGCTGCAAAGTAGCCAGTGAAATTGATAACATTAACAAAAATTCAATAAATGTAGTATTACCATAAAATCACCCTAAGACAATCCGTAATGAAGCTCTCTAATAATAACCAAGGAATTTTCCAAGTAGCACCTTTTCTGCACCTCAGTCCACAACATTAATCCTGTCCCATTTTGCCTATTTAAAGATGAACTAAAGAAATTTTTTTTTTTTAAGGAAATTACCAACTGCCTCCCTCAGGTTTTTTGATAACCCAACTAGACCCCCAACATATTTGAAAAACCTGAGAGGAGATGGTTGGTAAGCAGCAACTACTGACCTTCCCATCTCCATCACTATCAAAGCAATGAACCATATCAGCCAACTCCTCGTCTGTCCACAAAAAATCATGTGCAACTGCTACTCTTCGCAAGTCTCTTTTACTTATGATACCTCTTCCTGATTCTGCACGCCAACAATGACTCATCAATAACCAAAAATCTCCCAAAGAAAAATGTGTAGCAAAGTTTACAATGAAAGAAGGATATATCACTTTTTCTCGTCATTTTCAGTACATTAACAAAAAATTAGAAGTATATACCAAATCCGTGAAGGAAAGAAAGAAAAACAGCAGTATCACAAATTACCATCAAACTGAAAGAAATGTAAGATCACTTCATCTTCAGTCATTTGTACCCGACTTGTGAACTGCTGTCCAAAAAATACACAATTAAGAAGGCTAAAGTATGCAAAACATCTTCTCATGATGAAAAATATAGATCTGGATCCCTAAACAAACCGATTTTTTTCTCTTGCCCCTTCCTGTATCTTCCTGAGCGCGAGCTTGTCCCTTTTTTTCATTTAAAGTAGAACCTGGAACTTCAGCAGAATGTTGCAGTGAAAGAGCAATTGCCTGTATATGAATACTAATTCTTAGTGTAGCTCCATTCATGCAATCATCTAGAAGACTAGAACCCAAACGTAAATGTTCAATAATAAGTAATTACAATTACCTGCATCAACTCAGTGTCTTCATCAATGTAATCTGCGCTATTCAATTGCTTTTGAGAAGTTTTCTTCTTAGATTTTGGGCTTTTACTCTTCACCTGGAGTAAGAAATAAGCAAGGAGAGAGTGATTCTCTTCAATACCTAAATTAATTCCTACTGAGACAACCAAGCGGTAATTTATAGCTTCAAGAAATGGCGTTCAAGCCTCCTACATATACACCATCACAGTATCATTCAACAACTCCAATGTGTAAATCTTCTTAATTGCACTTTCAACTGCATAAGAAATAAATTCTTTCCCTACAACTCGAAATTTTTTTAACTTCTCTTGCCTTCAACAACTTTTGAAAATTGGAATTCACAAATAGCAAAAAAAAGAAAAAAAAAAATCAGCTATCAAACTAAAACATCTGTGATACCAGATAAAACTTTAACTGAAAAAGGAAATAGAGAAAAAAAAATATATATCTTAAGACCACACCTTCCTTTTGTTAGACCTGGAACTTTTATCATCATCAAGTTCGTTAGCACCATCATCATCATCATCATCATCACCATCATCATTAGGCATATAATCCTCGTCGTCTTCAACGACCTTGCGTTTCCCTTTACGCTTATTGGAGTTCTGAGATGAACCCATGAAGGAAGAAGCCAATTTGGAGAGTCCCAGGGCTTCCATTCTGGCTTTGTTCTCAGCAATTCTGGATAGCCTCCGCTTCTCGTACTCTGATACTTCCGGTTGTTTTTGCCCATTACGATTAGGCTCACCGATTTCTTCTTCTGAACTTGAACTCTCAGTTTCTTCCGCTTCTGAATCTAATGGGTGGGCTCGAACCATTTCGGTTTGAACTGGATTCAAGATTTGAAAAGAGGGTTTCTTGGCGGTGGTTTTTGTTCAGAAGGGTTTCCCAACATTCCCTCACGGTTACTTTCGCTCCCTTTCTACTATGAAATTCCAATTCTACCCTTAACCCTCATACAAAATAAATATATTTATGAGTTAAATAAATAAATAGTAAAATTAATATCTTCTTAATTAGGATTCAAAGTACCCAACGAACTGCATATTCCGAACGGCTTTTTATCGCAGCTAAAGGTAAGTAGCAGTGGCCCACGCGCAATGCTAGCACGTAAACCAGATGTTGGCTCGTCCCTCAAATCCGCTCCGTATAAAAATCCCCTCCCAAACTACCCCAATCAACAACTATTCACAGGCCACTGAAAACCGCTCAGTCGCAGACCTCACTCTTCAGCTCACGGAAATTCACTGTTAAAACCCTAGAAGCGAAACAAAATATGCCTTTATATTCCCTGTAACTAAACCCACCATTTATTTCTCTCTCAATTCGATGGCCTCTTTTGTAGAAATCGATAGGTACAATGTAATTCCACTCTCTCTGTCTTCTCTTTGTGCTTGCCCATGCCGTCCCACGTCGAACAAAACCCTAATTCTCAATCAAAGACGGTATCCGAAATTTAATCTCCGTATAGTCTTTGATGGATCCAAACCCATGCTTCGAGTTCGTCAATCCGGTATTTCCACGAACCGCCGCTTGATTGCGGCTGCGATGAGAGCTGAGCCGGACCGGCTTGATGAGGACAATGCCAAAGAGGTAATAATTTAGTTAGTCTTTCGTAAATTATGTATGTAAATTCGTTTGTGTTAAATGATTTTTTTGAGACAATAATGAGGAGTGTATGGTTTAACTTTAGTTCTGTAGTGTGCCCGTGTTGATAATGGTACATGGCATGACTTCATTATGATCACAAGGTTTAGGATAATGCAAATTATTTGGTAATTCGAATTGTTGTTTTAATGAAGTAACTAAGTTTGTGTTTTAGTTTTCTCTTTTTATATTAGGATGGAATTGAAATGATGATGTTGTAGGAAGTCGACAAAGGCAATAATTTACCAGTAATTGAGGATTCAGTTTCAGAGCGTCAACAGAAAGCAAGTCAGTTAAAGAAAAGGATTGTTTTTGGACTTGGCATTGGAATCTCTTTTGGGGGTATCGTACTGGCTGGAGGATGGGTTTTCACGGTGGCCTTTGCAGCTGCTGTTTTTGTTGGTGCACGTGAGTATTTTGAGTTGGTAAGAAGTCGTGGAATCACTGCAGGAATGACTCCTCCGCCTCGATATCTGTCACGAGTTTGCTCTGTTATATGTGCCCTCATGCCTATAGTTACCTTGTAAGATTGTTAAGTTGCTGTAACTTGTTGTTCAGACACAATCTAAGTGTCTAACAATGGTTCAATTTAATGCCTTTGCATGTATTACATTATTGCATATGTTTCTCTTCAAGGTTTTGGAACCCTCTCTTTGGGGCACACATTTGTTGAGGTTGATGTAGCTGATTGTGTGTTAATCATTGAGTGGAGTTTTTATTCTATGTCTTTGGGGGCAATGGAGAACCCTATTTATCATTCAGCTCCCTAGTAAAAGACAATTTGGGCTGCGTTAGAACATGGAAATGGGGTAAACATAGGTGTAGATTAGGGAATACTGCAAATTTTAACTCCTTCATTAACTAGTTACCAATAAGTGAAGTTGAATTTCCCTCTATTTGTTAGAGAATATTTGTTTATTTTTCTTCTTTGCCCATCAAATATTATCCTGAACTTCAATGTGTCTTTCTCCAGAATTTTTTAATTGCAGTGGGGTATAACATCATTGATCATTTAAGTTTTGACTGTATCCAAATTATTAGTTCTTTCAACAAAACACTTTGTTTTGTTTTATTGGAGAGCCTGTGCAACAAATTAGTTTTTGAATTGTTTTTTTGCATGCATGATTTTGCATCTAGAATAATGAACAATCTTGGTCACTGATTCATGAGATGGAGGTTCGTTGCTGATTAGTTTTTGTAATACATGGTCAGGTATTTTGGCCAAATTGATGTTTCAGTTACATCGGCTGCTTTCGTTGTTGCTATGGCATTGCTTTTACAAAGAGGAAATCCTCGTTTTGCTCAGCTGAGTAGCACCATGTTTGGACTGTTTTACGTTGGATATCTTCCTTGTTTTTGGGTTAAGCTTCGATGTGGTTTAGCAGCCCCAGCCTTAAATACTAGTAAGTCTCTATGCTTATCTGATTGTAAAGTTAGATATCATAGAGTTTTATTGAAAGATACACCAATTTCTGCTATTTTGTCCCACTTGAACAGCCACGTGTATGTTTTTAAGTGGGGGATGTAAAAGATCTTGAAACTATTGAAGAGACTGGTTCTGCCCTCTTGACTATAAGTGTTCTAGCTTTCTTTAAAATAAACGACTAAAAAAGTAAGTATTGGTTTTCTGCCCTTTTAAAGGTGATTGTTTATGAGCCTGAATATATGCTGGGTTGTACTTTATCCTTCTTCACTCTTAATCTCCTCTCTTAATTCCTTCATTGCATTTTTTACTTTTGCTTATATTGCTCTGTGTTTTCTAACCTCTGAAGATTTTGCAGGAATAGGATCTGCATGGCCTGTTCTTCTTGGTGGTCAAGCTCATTGGACTGTGGGTCTTGTGGCAACCTTGATTTCTGTCAGCAGCATAATTGCAGCAGATACATTTGCTTTTGTAGGCGGCAAGGTATTTGTCATTTGAGTTGGTCTATAGTACCTTTCAATTCTCTTATGTTCCTAAATAACGAATTAGAACTAAAATATGTAGTTATTTTTTGTGAATTATGACCATAGCCTGCAAGAACTTTTTCCTCCTACCTTTGAGATCAATTGTGGAGAAGAATGCTAAACATTTACGTATCCCCGAACTGCATATTCCGAACGGCTTTTTACCGCAGCTAAAGTTAAGTAGTAGTGGCCCACGCGCAATGCTAGCACGTAAACCAGATGTTGGCTCGTCCCTCAAATCCGCTCCGTATAAAAATCCCCTCCCAAACTACCCCAATCAACAACTATTCACAGGCCACTGAAAACCGCTCAGCCGCAGACCTCACTCTTCTGCTCACGGAAATTCACTGTTAAAACCCTAGAAGCGAAACAAAATATGCGTTTATATTCTCTGTAACTAAACCCACCATTTATTTCTCTCTCAATTCGATGGCCTCGTTTGTAGAAATCGATAGGTACAATGTAATTCCACTCTCTCTGTCTTCTCTTTGTGCTTGCCCATGCCGTCCCACGTCGAACAAAACCCTAATTCTCAATCAAAGACGGTATCCGAAATTTAATCTCCGTATAGTCTTTGATGGATCCAAACCCATGCTTCGAGTTCGACAATCCGGTATTTCCACGAACCGCTGCTTGATTGCGGCTGCGATGAGAGCTGAGCCGGACCGGCTTGATGAGGACAATGCCAAAGAGGTAATAATTTAGTTAGTCTTTCCTAAATTATGTATTTAAATTCGTTTGTGTTAAATGGTTTTTTTGAGACAATAATGAGGAGTGTATGGTTTAACTTTAGTTCTGTAGTGTGCCCGTGTTGATAATGGTACATGGCATGACTTCATTATGATCACAAGGTTTAGGATAATGCAAATTATTTGGTAATTCGAATTGTTGTTTTAATGAAGTAACTAAGTTTGTGTTTTAGTTTTCTCTTTTTATATTAGGATGGAATTATTGAAATGATTATGTTGTAGGAAGTCGACAAAGGCAATAATTTACCAGTAATTGAGGATTCAGTTTCAGAACGTCAACAGAAAGCAAGTCAGTTAAAGAAAAGGATTGTTTTTGGACTTGGCATTGGAATCTCTTTTGGGGGTATCGTACTGGCTGGAGGATGGGTTTTCACGGTGGCCTTTGCAGCTGCTGTTTTTGTTGGTGCACGTGAGTATTTTGAGTTGGTAAGAAGTCGTGGAATCACTGCAGGAATGACTCCTCCGCCTCGATATCTGTCACGAGTTTGCTCTGTTATATGTGCCCTCATGCCTATAGTTACCTTGTAAGATTGTTAAGTTGCTGTAACTTGTTGTTCAGACACAATCTAAGTGTCTAACAATGGTTCAATTTAATGCCTTTGCATGTATTACATTATTGCATATGTTTCTCTTCAAGGTTTTGGAACCCTCTCTTTGGGGCACACATTTGTTGAGGTTGATGTGGCTGATTGTGTGTTAATCATTGAGTGGAGTTTTTATTCTATGTTTGTGGGGGCAATGGAGAACCCTATTTATCATTCAGCTCCCTAGTAAAAGACAATTTGGGCTGCGTTAGAACATGGAAATGGGGTAAACATAGGTGTAGATTAGGGAATACTGCAAATTTTAACTCCTTCATTAACTAGTTACCAATAAGTGAAGTTGAATTTCCCTCTATTTGTTAGAGAATATTTATTTATTTTTCTTCTTTGCCCATCAAATATTATCCTGAACTTCAATGTGTCTTTCTCCAGAATTTTTTAATTGCAGTGGGGTATAACATCATTGATCATTTAAGTTTTGACTGTATCCAAATTATTAGTTCTTTCAACAAAACACTTTGTTTTGTTTTATTGGAGAGCCTGTGCAACAAATTAGTTTTTGAATTGTTTTTTTGCATGCATGATTTTGCATCTAGAATAATGAACAATCTTGGTCACTGATTCATGAGATGGAGGTTCGTTGCTGATTAGTTTTTGTAATACATGGTCAGGTATTTTGGCCAAATTGATGTTTCAGTTACATCGGCTGCTTTCGTTGTTGCTATGGCATTGCTTTTACAAAGAGGAAATCCTCGTTTTGCTCAGCTGAGTAGCACCATGTTTGGACTGTTTTACGTTGGATATCTTCCTTGTTTTTGGGTTAAGCTTCGATGTGGTTTAGCAGCCCCAGCCTTAAATACTAGTAAGTCTCTATGCTTATCTGATTGTAAAGTTAGATATCATAGAGTTTTATTGAAAGATACACCAATTTCTGCTATTTTGTCCCACTTGAACAGCCACGTGTATGTTTTTAAGTGGGGGATGTAAAAGATCTTGAAACTATTGAAGAGACTGGTTCTGCCCTCTTGACTATAAGTGTTCTAGCTTTCTTTAAAATAAACGACTAAAAAAGTAAGTATTGGTTTTCTGCCCTTTTAAAGGTGATTGTTTATGAGCCTGAATATATGCTGGGTTGTACTTTATCCTTCTTCACTCTTAATTCCTTCATTGCATTTTTTACTTTTGCTTATATTGCTCTGTGTTTTCTAACCTCTGAAGATTTTGCAGGAATAGGATCTGCATGGCCTGTTCTTCTTGGTGGTCAAGCTCATTGGACTGTGGGTCTTGTGGCAACCTTGATCTCTGTCAGCAGCATAATTGCAGCAGATACATTTGCTTTTGTAGGCGGCAAGGTATTTGTCATTTGAGTTGGTCTATAGTACCTTTCAATTCTCTTATGTTCCTAAATAACGAATTAGAACTAAAATATGTAGTTATTTTTTGTGAATTATGACCATAGCCTGCAAGAACTTTTTCCTCCTACCTTTGAGATCAATCGTGGAGAAGAATGCTAAACATTTACGTATCCAATGTTGCATGACAGATGTACTTCTTTGGATCTCTTATAATAGTTGGTGGAATTGAAATTTGTGTATTTCTGTCAGTTTAGGTTTCTTCTTCCTATTTACCATCATTTCAACAGAATTGAGGAAGATGTTGCTATGCACTTTTGGGTCCATATTATTTCAAGACCATGAGGTAGATTTTAATCTCTAATGCAGGCTTTTGGTAGGACACAACTTACTAGTATTAGTCCGAAGAAAACATGGGAGGGAACTATTGTTGGCTTGGGTGGTTGTATAGCTACTTCTGTTGCATTATCAAGGATTTTTTTGTGGCCAACATCTCTGCTAAGGTATTTAATCTTCCTTCTGTGTAGTGTTCAAGTCACAGTAAAAAGTTTTTTTTATTTAAAAGATGCAGGCTAACATTTGTTTATGGCTCTATTAGTTTACATTATGTGTTAAAGTATTAGAGAGAACTAATATGAGGGGAAGTCTGGTTTATCAAATATCTATCTATTCTATGGCAGTTGTTCATGCAACTCACACATATGTTGAAATTGGAAAACTTGATTTTATTAAGCCTTGATCCCAAAACTATCTAGTGCAAGTAGACATTATTTGAAATAAGCATGGCTAGGAGTGTGTCTAACACCCTAAATGGTGAACACTTTTGATGATTGAGTGCGATATAAGGTAATCACGATTTCTCTGGTTATGTCATTCTCCAGCTCTTGTTTTACACTAGATTTGAATCAGATTGTTCTGTCTGACATTCTGTGCTAGATTTCAATGTTTTAAGTACTTGAATACTTTTGTAGCTGTATATTTCCATTTTATGCATGGTGGATATGGCTGAAGTTATTGAATTTTCAATTTCCCTCATTTCTTATCAGTTTGAAGCTTAGCATGTGACTTATGTCTATTCTTTTGCTATTATATGACATACATCATGCACCTATGCCATTGTCAGCAAGCTTGTATGTTTTTCCAAAGTCATGATATGTGCCTTACTTTATGTTCCTGGATAATTGTCAGTGCAATAGCTTTTGGGTTTCTGAACTTTGTTGGGTCGGTTTTTGGTGATCTTACGGAATCGATGATCAAACGTGATGCTGGTGTCAAAGACTCTGGATCCCTAATACCTGGACACGGTAATCACCCTTTTTCTTTCAAGTTTCAGTTCTCTAGTGGACATAGACTAAGTACAAATAAAATCCTACAGGTTTAATTTTTCACTGTTGACACTCATTTCACTGTAAAGAATTTTTTCTAATGAATTTGTGTCTGATTATTAAACTGAACTTGTGCAATCTTAGTTAGCATCACCATCAATTGTCGTTTTTATCCTTCTTTTTCTGCAACCATCTTATAATCTATACATAATGTGTAACTTGAACTTTTACTTTGCCTCATCTATTTATATCTGTTTGCAACTATAAACAAATATGTTCATTAATACCCTATGGTTGAATTAAGCATACTAACTAATTTTCACCAAATATGTAAAATCTGAAACATTGAATGCAGGTGGTATACTGGACAGAGTTGACAGTTATATATTCACAGGTGCGCTTGCTTACTCCTTTGTGAAAACCTTCCTACCGCTTTATGGAGTTTGATAGAAAATTTTATGACCAATGGCTAGAGAAGATATCAAATAAACCAATTATGGTTTTTCCTTTGCGGAAGTTAGGAGCACACATACATTCACTCAAAATTCAGAAAAATTATGTAAGGGAAAGAGTTGATTCTTGCCTTAACAACTTCAGAGAAGGGAAATGAGATTAAAATTTCAACTCTACCATCTCCATATTTTTCTTCCCAAATTTCAAATTTGTGTGAGTACCTCTGATATAAATATACATGTCTTGAATCACATAGGATCCATCACCTTAGTTACTGTTGCAGTTTTTCGATTCAAGGGCAGTACCTGCTTCTTTGCCCGAAATTGTGAAAACTACTTATCAATTTCCAGTACAGTTTCTATCTCCTTTCGACTGACCATTTTCAATTATATATTTGGATACCCAATTTTATAAGTGTGTATTCAGCTGGGACTTGGAGATAACATATTTTACATTTTATATTGATTTTCCTATTTCATGACGTCCTTGTTATTATGATTGATGAAGGATACTTCGATCTTTGAGGTTTTATTCTGCACTGTCATCACATTGGGATAGATTTCTAACTAATTTGTGTATTGACCTGATGATACACGTCCATTCAGACCATAATACAAGAAAATAATAATAAATTGTGGGACAACCAAAAACAGCTTCGAACTTTTCTTTTTAGCAATAACTTCTCCATTCTCATTCCCAATGTATAATTATATCGTTTAGCCCATCTGGTTGTTGACCAGCGAATGCTTTAATAAACTTTCATGGAAATTTTGACCCAAATCATTGAAGAAGAAGGTTCAAAGATGTCAACCTAGTTTAGAGAGAAAGGTCCACTGGGGCATATACATTTCACCGATCATCACACAACTTGGTTTAGTGTCAAATTGTCAAAGCAAATGAAGTTGTCATCACTTGTCAACTCTTTGTGCCGACTAAATTATATAATAAGAACATGAATGTCACCTCTTCTCTTATCCCACAACCGAAAGAACTAAAATAATTTCAAAGAAAGGTGAAACCAATTATATTTCTGGAGGACACAGCCACTAGAAACATGACCCATACTAAAGTTTACCAACCTTGGCCCTTTTTTATTTTGAGGATTTGACTGCTAATTAGCCTCTCTTCTCAACCTTATGTGTGTGTCTTACATAAGTATATAGAGTTACACATGGCCAATGCCCAGTTGCAAATCAAAGATTTAAGAATTATGTTTCCAACCCAATGTCTATGTCATGTCTTTATCAGTTTATGTTTTGTCTTCTTTTCCTATTCTCTTGCTGGTTTTATTTTTGTCTTTGAGACTCATGATTGGATTTGAAACTCCAATCTTATCAGTTACCTGCTTGCCTGCATGATCGTTAAGTTCCATTTAACTTGTGCCAGTGTTTCAGTCTATCTGTTCTCTTTTAAAAAAGAAATGGAAAAATAAATAACTTGAGTGAGTCCTAAGGAAGTGAATGGATTTAGGAGTTATGCATTGAGAATAATGAACCGTTATAATTTATCTCCCTTGGATGAGAAGAAAAAGAAAAAGGTAACAGCATTATGGGGGGAAAATAAGAAACTATTGGATTAATATGGAGAAGGCTGATATATATATATCCAAGGAAAAGAAAAAAGAAAACAAAATTATTGTAACCATTAAAATAAAAAGAAAAGATGAAAGAGACGTGAGAACCGAACGGGTGGGTTGACCTTTTAATTATAAGATTTTTCGATGACACACAAAAAAAGATGGAGATAAGAGAAGAAGAAGATGGGGATGGGGATAAAAAGAAAGAAAACGCTGGTTTGAAGGGTAGCCAACTCATCTCATCCATGCAAAACTATTGTGGAGCCAAACTTCCACCAAATAAAATTGAAAGAGAAAGAGAAAGAGTCTTGAGCAAGAAGAGATGTAGTGAGAAAACCAATGAGAGTTTTTCGGTTAGTTAATGGAGGACCTACCATAATTTAGCTTTTTGACAAGTATGAGTGCTTACTTTTGGGTTTTGGTATATATATAAAAATTTAAAAAAAAAAAATGTGTGGGATGGAAAGAAGGCGTTGTTTTTAAGCTGACTAGAAGAAAATGGAGAAAGAAAAGGATAGAAAAGAAAATAAAAACAATGAAGGAAACTTAAAGAAGAGTTGGAGAAGATATGGTGGGCAGGCATCTATAAAAGTGTAGAAAGAGAAAGATATATTGTCTAATCTAATGAACAAAAACCCTAATTCACTTTTCTTGCACACGCACACCCATGTGTCTCACCCTCACCTCATCATCTTCCCCTTCCAGCTTTTGCTTTTCTTTTTATTACTTTTCTTACCCATTGCCTTGGATGCTCACTACGATTTTAGCTTTAGCCTTAGATTTTCTTTCTTTTTCTCCCTTTGTTATCAATATATTAATATATTCGCCTTGCCAGATATCATAACAGGCTGCAATCATTTATATATGTATATATTTTCGATAATGTATTGATTGTTACTCAAAGTTATTAATCAGAAGTCAGAACCAAATAAGATTTTTCAGCATTCCAATGCATGGGATGCAGTAAGTCTTTCGGTCATAGTTATTATGTTGCTTAGAAAAAAAAACTGAAGTAAAATGGTGATTGGGTTATAAAATTATTCTCATTCTTTAATAGTGGAAATGGGTCCCTTTAATCCCAATTGAATCGAATGCTTTAGATATGAAGAGTGTAAGTAGGTGGTGGCTCTGGATGGCCATGGGTGGATGGGTGGTAAATGACCCACTTAGCATTTTTTAGGTTTGAAGAAGACAAAAGCTGGCAAATGTCTCTTAAGTCTTTAGCATATCTTTGTTCTTCAAATCTAATATAACTGAAAAAAATCCCTCACTCCTAGGGGGAGACTTCTTCAAGACAAAAGTGCTTACCTCTCAATTCCTTAATGAAAAGTTGTTTATCATTATACTTTACAAGCAAGGCTGATTTTTTTTTTTTTTTATTTTATTTTTAGAGCTTCAAAAAAGTGTTTTACTTTTTTATATGGGTTTCCAATTTCCATATCTAGAAGATGCTTAAATGGTGATCTCGCTAACTCTCTCTTTACCACTTCTGAGAATCTGCTTTCAACTATTGAGGGTGACTAAAGGCAACAATGCCAGGTCCATCCAAAATCCAATTTCATTTTAGCTTGGTGAAAAATAATGATATTGAGAAGGAAAAAAGCTTCTTTTTCATACATTTGTTTTTGTTCTTTCCTTTTCTTCTCCCACAAATGGACCACGTAGCAGCAGCAAAAGAGAAACCAAATGAGAATAAAATTTTTAAACTTTGAATGTAGATGATTTAGTCTCTCCAATCCCCTCTAATTGATTAAGATAAAGAAATTAGACGCTAGTTTTCGACTAGTAGTCTTGTTTGTTGTTTCGTGAAAGAGGCTTCTTGCTCCATTATGGAACTTGTCAGTCGCTCCATGAAAGCTATTGAAAGTTCAAAAAAAAGGCTCATAAATTTTGTGGAGGCCAAGAGTTCCACCTCTTCTAATTACTTAAAGGCATCCCTTACGCCTGAAAATGACTCTTCAATTGCCTTTTTTTTTAAATCCTAAAATTCCTTTTGTTCATAGAAGAATAAACAGTGCTTTTCTACTACTACATAAATCATCATCCATTGTTGCATAATAAACGGCTTTGTTCTTGTTTTGTTAGAGCATTAGGTTCCTCGTTAAGGGACTTTCTTGTTAACTCTCTTTAATATTATGATAGAAATTGACATGAATCTCACTCCTCACCCGATAAAGTCTTGTTGAATAGGAGGATTATCCTCTATTATAAACCAGTAGGCTTGAATGTGCTTAGTCAATATGAGATTCCAACAAGTTTTAAAGTTATTATTATTGAAAAGAAAAGTAACAAATAATATTATGGAAAATAAGGTTGGTCGGTAGTTAAGAAGGCTTATTCTCTCTATTGTTTATCTAAAATATTGAGTTTATAGTGTATTCAGTGGACTCTAATAATTAATTGAGCTATATATATATATAAATAAAATGAAAATTCATGTCCATCTTTATCATACAATAAAGACATCGTTGATGAGCTTAGTACCATGAAAATAATATTCAAACATGTAGATGTAGTTGCTTGACGACAATGAAAAAGAAATAAACAATCATAGACAACTCAATTATTTTATCAACTATCTGAATGGTTTGATGTGAACCCACTGCTGAAAAACATCACACGGTGAATTTCTAAAAACAGCAATCCATCCATACGATCAAACGGTCATGATCAGTTGAACCATTAAGATTAAGACGTTTCACCATCAAGGCTAATTCGTTGGGAGGGACATCTTTCACTGCCTTAACCCAGGCATGGTCAGGCAATGGGGGCCCACTTTGCTATTTCATTTCTGTCCGTCCGATTTCTGGATTTTATCATCTATCAAGTTAGACTGTAAATCGACCATACACGAGGCAAATTCGTACGTTTGTGACCATTCAGATGGTTTTAGAAAGGAGGAGAGAGATGTAGACAATTTTCATTATCAATGGGATTGGGAGTGTTCCCAAACAATGCAACACAAGAGACAATGAGTCACAATCGTAGACTTGGTGTTTGGTACACACTTCGACTAGACTGAGTTTGGAATAGTGAGTATTGGATCACAGCTCATTCCTCCATTAATGCAACCCCCACGTGTCCTCTGCTAAACTTTACGACACTCTTCTTCCATCCATTTGTTCCACAGTAGGAAAGGTTTTATGTTCTGCTAACTTACTGGCAGGATTCACAAATTGAGATTTCATTAGCGTTTATCCATTCCAAAGTGGAATCACATTCGGGCATTTTCGCCCAGTAAAGAGCATACGTTTGCTACTTTAGATTTTACTTAAAAAAGTAGCATTAATGGAGCTGAGCATAAAGGGTGATTTGTTCAATTTTAATTAAGTAATATCACACTAATAACTTTTTTTTTGTATAATTTTTTTAATAATTCTATGTGATAATTCATAATTGATTAGTTTTTTAATTAATTAAAAAGACTCATACAAAACTTGTGTAAAATCTATTATGAATCAATCAATGACGAGAGATATCATATCAGATTGGTAGAAAAAATTTGTAAAAAATAATGATAGGTGTAATATTATTCATTTACTTCTGCCCGCACTAAAGGGGTGCCTAGTGCCTACCCAGGTGGAAGGACGGTGTTTCTGTAGCTCTTTTTTATTTTATTTTATTTTCTTCTGGGTAGGGTCAAAATTGGACCACTTGCATGAATAATTAATGTACAACACAAATAAAAAATATTATTACCAATAATGACAACAACAATAAGGTTGTCCGCCGGGGTAATAAAGTATTAATAGTCCACGAAGCCAATGCGTTGAGCTCTGATAATAATGAACTTATATTATTATATTTTTTGGTTATGAGAGGTAAAGTTGATCTAACAAGCAACATGAAACATGGCCTTTTGTGTATTATAAGTGTGTTTAAGAAAAGCAGTGTTTAAGTTAAGGCGCTGAAAAAGAAAAGGGTTTTAAAATAATAATCGATTGTAGGGGTCCAATAGTACAACGCCCATGTGATTTCATTTGGGAACAGGGGAGGCATACAAATAAAATAAACTTAGCCAAACACCAAATTCAATGTATAATACTCGGCATGCTAATAATGTTAATGAATTTAATTATCAATTGTTGCTACCTGAAATTGACATTTGGAAGAAATAGGAATGCATGTATTAAAAGAGAATTAGGCCAACATCCTATCCTTGAGACCTTCGATCCATAATTTTGTTGATTTCAATGGTCCTAAAAACATTTGAGTCTTTTAATGCTTGCAAATTGTTTTAAATATGTTATCACATTATCAGCAACACATGGAGAGCTTGACATTCTCAAACTACAAAGAAACTTGACATGGCATTTGAATCAATACAGATAAATTGGTTTTGGTGGAGCTGGAACAGAACTGATACTTGATAAAGAACTAACTTGAAGCTCCAGAGTACTTCATTTGCTAATAGGATTTGGATTGAAAGAAAATAATCAAGATGAAAGGAAATGCTGGGTTACATGCAACTCATTGCAGTAGAGAAGTTAATTAAGTCAAAAGCAGTGAGGAATTAGCTTTTTGATCTAGTTTTAAGTGGGAAAATATGACTATCAGAGACATTTGGAACTCTTCTCCGCCCTGTCAAAAACTTATTGAAAAGATGAAAGTTCAGAAACAATTCAGGTATTATTCCAAACATTTTAGTCTTAAGAAACAGGTGATAAGTCTTTCATCATAGATAGTTGGAATTCTGGACCACGAAATTAAGGAACAAATTGCATTGAAAAGGGCAGTTTGGTTTTGAAGAGTTAATTAGTCTTTGTTCCATATCTTCGTTTCTTTCTTGTCAGATTACAACAAACCATTTGCAGCTTGAACATGAAAAGATTTTAAAAAAGGGAACAACCATGAAGTAGCAGCCACAACCATCTTAAGAAACTGAAAATAAGAAAAGACTGTACAAAGCCATGCATCCAGTTACTAAATGTTTGGTTTCAATTGGAAACAATAGGCCTAAAGCACATAGACAATTAGCATAAGAGATCCAGAGACAACAAAATTCAAAAGAGATCAGAAACTAAAGCAGTAAGTTATAAGGCACCTTTGCAATCAACATTAATTGGCATCACACCAATATCCAAATGCTACTACTCCTTAGCACCTCCATGCCGAAGCTGAAATGAGCTCTTTGCGCTGCCAACAGAGAACAAGCGAAGACTGTCTCTTCTCAACATAAAAACCCCTAACTGAAGTCCGCTGCACCAAACAATCAGCTTGGGACTCGGTGAAGTTACTAAATGTCAATGGAGAGAAGCCAGATTGCACAAACAGACCCCTCCACGGAGGCAATCTCTCAGGCGCACGATGGCGCCCCAATACAATTTTCTCAATACAAGGATGAAGCAAGAACCTCTCAATCTTTTGCTGGTTATCCAAATTCATATTGACAGCATCAAGTGATTCAAGCAGGCCAGAGTAGGATTGAAGGGCATGAATTATATGGTGTGGAAAAGGGACATCTGCTCGATCACAGCCTCTATCCAAAGAAACAACAATCTTGGGAGAAAGTTGCTTCACAAAACGAAGGACCAAAGGAAGGTTGGAGGGGAAATTAGAAAAGGATGCAATTGGGAGATTCACAGCAATTGCTTCGTTCTCCAGTACATGAAGAGGCAGTGGCCAAGAAGCAGAGTTTAAAGATTCAAGGCTTAATATTTCTATCTCAAAAGGCATATTGATTTCACTGGCAAAGTGTTTGAGGTTTTCTTGGGTGAAATTAAGCTCCAGCTGATCGTGTGAGGAGGGAGAGGGAGATGCAAATGCTGTGATTTTAAGCGATGGTGGACCCTCACTTCTGAGAACAAGTTCTTGCATCAGAGAAGCCCACTGACCACCATACCCAATATCGAAATCTATAATGTGGATTCTATCAAACCCTTCAAAGGCTTCAAGAAGAGCTTGGTTGCAAGTGAAATTAGCAAACTGAAGAACGGGTGAGATTTCAGAGAAACATTTATAAGCACTAATCTTGAAAATGATGCTATAAGCGGACAAAGCTGAAGAATTAGTGGTATTCATATGGAGAAGTAACTGCAAGGCCTCTTTGAAGTAAAAAGCAGCCCTTTGAAAAGGCTTACCAATAGGTGAGAGCTGGTGATTGAGCCGCGCCAATATCCCTTGCGCGAGTACAGGATTACCCGTTTCGATCAGCTCTGCGGCCTTGAAAACCTGGTCAATTATTGCCTGCTGAAGCTGCTGGTTAGCCAATTCATCGTTCACCATTTTTTGCTTCGTTGCTGTCACTGGAACTCCCATTGTTTGCCTTGGTTGTTGCTGAAGCATCTGAAGCTGTTCCTGTCGCCGAAGAAAGAACTCCTGCTGACCCGAATCCGGAAATGGTACTTTTGGGACCTGATTATTGGGTCCCAGATTAACCCGCTTCGGTGGGGGTGGAGATAAAAGATGATGCTCTGGCACTTGAGTGTAGGACAGCGGCAAGAATAAAGCAGGATTCTGAGTAAACTGAGCTTGATTTTGATGGATTATCAACTGAGGATTAAATATCTGAGGCTTCTCATCCAGAGCTTCAATTGGTGGTGGTTGTTGCTGCTGCTGCTGTTGAAAAACAGTTGGAGCAAGAGGTGGAACAGGCAAAAGATTGGTAGCTGAAGTTGGGAAAATATGATTTGGATTTGCAACAGAACCAACTCTTGCATTGTTGGCGTGAATATTATGAGGAAAATCAGTAACATGTAGAGAAGTACTGATATTAGGGTCAAAACCAAAACTTGCTTGATCGACAACACCAAAACCTGCATTAAACTCCATATCTTGATGAGAAACACCTCCAGTTTGCAAAATCTTGTTCAATCCCAATGAAGGGTCGTCCATATCACCCATAATTAGCCTCAAAATGGATGGTTCTTGACTAGGTGAACCAGGCAACACACCCTCCCAATCTTCCATTCCTAACCCACATTTTTCTTCTACTGATGGGTTGCCGGAGAAATTAGCAGCTGTAGCCACGCCGGTGGTGTCGGTGGAGGCACTGCCTCCACCACCGCCGTTATTACCACCGAGAGACGAAGACAGTGTTGAGGAAGACGTGGGTGGGCTTGGACTTCTTCTGCTATCGAGCACAGATGTGGGCTCACTGCCCACATAGCAGCAACCTTCTTTGTTGTTGTTGAGCCAGTTTTGTTGTTGTTGCTGTTGTTTCTGCTGCTGCTGTTGTTGTTGATGTTGTGATACTAGTGAATCCGAAGAAGAAGAAGAGAAATCTAACGCCCCCTTCCCTTGAAAGTCCTCAAAGGCTAAGGGCATGGCCTTCATCTAAGAAAATCAAGAACCAAAAAACCCACAAACCCAACAACCTAAAACTCTCCAGTTTCCAAAATCAAGTACCACCAAAAAGGTTTTTAGCTAGAAAGCTAAAAAGAAAGAAGAGATAAATAACCTAGTTTGAATATTACAAACAAGAGGTTTAAAGAAAAGACAAACACAAATCAAACCAAAGATTTTAAACGATAATACACTTCTAAAAATACATGCACAGCTGAAGAAACCTGCTAACCTTCTCTTTGGCTCCCTCTTCCCTTTACTACCTATCTCTCTTCGCTGTGTAAGTACCTCAGAACAACATTTTTGGTACAATTTTTTTTCTTCTGGTTCTGTGGTTATCTTTGGTGCATGTTTCTTTATTTTTTTCTCTTCTTCTTTGGTCTTTGTACTACCCTGCCTTCCTTGTGTTTTCTGCTATGGATGCGTGCAACATATAAAAGTGGTAAAGTGCCCTTCATCCTTTCTCTCTCTAGTCTTTCTTTTCTCTCTCTATTATTTTTTCTTTTTTTTAATTTATAATTTTTTTATGTGGCTTTTGTCTGTTGACGTAGTTATCTCTGTTAGGGCTTATTTCACTCCACCATCTCCACTCCCAACTTATAGCGCGTAAACTAAACTCTCATCCGATAAATTTCGTGTCAATATAAGTTTAACTACATAATAAATTAAATTATCAAATATTTATAAATTAATCGGTGATGTCAGATGTGTGATTTACACGCTCTTCAAAGGAGCGTGAAGGTTTCATACTGAGTGCTCTTTGGTTTATTATTTTCTTTTGCAGAGACCAATGATACAGAGAAAAGGTTAACTGGATCAGATGATTTCTTGTAGTTTACGTACATTCCTAAAATAGCCTTCCTTGTTTATCTCATAACTCGTAAAAAAGTAGGTGATAGCGTGGGTGTTTTAGTAATTACAGTGAAACATTTTCTGCTGGCCTGGTTTTCGAAACTGAATCTGACGGCACGAGATAATGAGTGGGCTTTTACTGGTTTTATAAATATCGAGACAGTTTTTGACGGTTGTGATATTTTGTTTGGGACAAAAATGTGTGACTGTGATGGAGAGTTTCTATTTGCTCGAAAGAAGCTGTAAATTGTGATCATGTCACAAATAATATAACAAATTATTAATTATAGGCTTAATCTTGTTATAGAACTAAAATCATACTGTAATTATGAAATTACATGTTATGTAGTCTATCTAAGCAATTGACTTTATATTAAAATTTATAATAAGTCTAATTTAAATAATTATCGTCACTTGATGTAATAATTGATGCTGACAGTGACCTTGGTTAGATGCAAAAATCGATAAAGATAAGAGTAGGACTATAGACTAGTGATCGAGTAATTAAGTTAGAATGTCAATTAATGTGACGAGCTATAAATTAAACATTATTATTAAAATATTATTATTATTTGCAAACCGTACACAATCAATTAATGTTAGTATCAATTAAAAGATATGTGCAGTATTAACCTAAGTTAAGATTATTTATATAAATGTCAAATAATGCGATTATTACTTTCACGTTAACTGCCATTAAGAGAGAAATCAAGTAGTGCCCACGCATATAAGACAGGGAGGACCCTTATTATCAACAGTTGCATGCATGATGAAATAAAAATGTATTTAACAGATGGGATTATTAAAAAAATGGAAAAGCAGAGCAAGACATAGACAAAGTGAGAACGCATTGAATTTTCAGCCAATAAATCTAAGGACAAGTTCACCGAAATACAAGTGGATTAAATAAATGTACATAAATGCCCTTGTAATTTGAACCATTAATATTATAACAATAATACTAACCCTATATGAGAGTTTGTGATTGGCTTGATTAGATAGGACCCATTATTAGACAGACGGGATCCATGTGAATTGACGAATTATGAGTTGAGACATAGTATTAGTGAGAGAAAGTTAATAAGAAGTGTTAGTGATTGTAGTTTTACTCTAAATAATAACTACTCTCTCGTGATGGGGTTTTGTTTAGTTGCCAAGAATTAACTATTTGTAGCAACCCCCAAAGTGGTTAAATGGAACGATAGGATTCTTAAATGTATTATTCAAGAGGTTTTGAGTTTAATTTCTTTCGATTGCTAATTAGGGTAATCATTAGAGAGTTTACTTAGTCGTTAACTTCAAGGCCTAAAGGATTAGTCGATGTATATACAAATTAACCCAAACACTCTCGATCATCAAAAGAAAAAAAAAAAANGGCTTAATCTTGTTATAGAACTAAAATCATACTGTAATTATGAAATTACATGTTATGTAGTCTATCTAAGCAATTGACTTTATATTAAAATTTATAATAAGTCTAATTTAAATAATTATCGTCACTTGATGTAATAATTGATGCTGACAGTGACCTTGGTTAGATGCAAAAATCGATAAAGATAAGAGTAGGACTATAGACTAGTGATCGAGTAATTAAGTTAGAATGTCAATTAATGTGACGAGCTATAAATTAAACATTATTATTAAAATAATATTATTATTTGCAAACCGTACACAATCAATTAATGTTAGTATCAATTAAAAGATATGTGCAGTATTAACCTAAGTTAAGATTATTTATATAAATGTCAAATAATGTGATAATTACTTTCACGTTAACTGCAATTAAGAGAGAAATCAAGTAGTGCCCGCGCATATAAGACAGGGAGGACCCTTATTATCAACAGTTGCATGCATGATGAAATAAAAATGTATTTAACAGATGGGATTATTAAAAAAATGGAAAAGCAGAGCAAGACATAGACAAAGTGAGAACGCATTGAATTTTCAGCCAATAAATCTAAGGACAAGTTCACCGAAATACAAGTGGATTTAATAAATGTACATAAATGCCCTTGTAATTTGAACCATTAATATTATAACAATAATACTAACCCTATATGAGAGTTTGTGATTGGCTTGATTAGATAGGACCCATTATTAGACAGACGGGATCCATGTGAATTGACGAATTATGAGTTGAGACATAGTATTAGTGAGAGAAAGTTAATAAGAAGTGTTAGTGATTGTAGTTTTACTCTAAATAATAACTACTCTCTCGTGATGGGGTTTTGTTTAGTTGCCAAGAATTAACTATTTGTAGCAACCCCCAAAGTGGTTAAATGGAACGATAGGATTCTTAAATGTATTATTCAAGAGGTTTTGAGTTTAATTTCTTTCGATTGCTAATTAGGGTAATCATTAGAGAGTTTACTTAGTCGTTAACTTCAAGGCCTAAAGGATTAGTCGATGTATATACAAATTAACCCAAACACTCTCGATCATCAAAAGAAAAAAAAAAAAATCACCCTTAGGTGGCTAGATGAGACGATATAGACTCTTGGGTATATTATTCAAGAGGTCTCGAATTCGATTCTTCTCAATTGTTACTGGAGGGTTTACTCGATCATTAACTTTAAGATCACAGAAGATTAGTCGAAGTGCGTATAAGTTTGCCTGAACAGCCCTATCACCAACCAAAAAAAAAAAAAAAATTTAAATATACGTTATTGGATTGCATGAAAGATTCATATAATTTTTTTAGCAAACAATGTCATGGAAAAAATATAATCTTAGATTAATATTAATTATTGCAGCATTGAAAGGTAGAAGAAAGGCATAATAATTGGTCCACCCCCTTGGGGGATTTATATAAACAAAATTTCTTTATTAATGTAAAATGCGTAAAGGACAGGGCAATATTGGGAATTAGGCGAAAGAGGGTAGTTTGGTTTTGGTTGTGTAGACAAGAGGGTAGTAATGTGAGAGGGAAGAGGGGACATGCTTAGGTTAGATATGAATTGTTTAGGAAAACCATGATTTGGACATGTCAGTGTGAAGGGTTTAGTTTATCTTCTCCTCCCATGTGAACAAGTTTCTCTTCTTCTTCTTCTTCTTCTCTCTCATATGAAGTGTAAAGTCATCCAAATCAAACTCACTTTACTTCCCTCTCTTCACTTTTTTAATTCAAATTTTCAAAGTTTTTTATTATCCCTCTCTTTCTTCTTTCTCAATATTTATTTTATTTCTTTCTTTGCTGTCTAAACTAAAAGGACTGGATTGCTCATCACAACTTCTTTTCTCTCTTCTCAAGACACCCCACACCGCAAGCAACAATACTATCTCCAAATTTGCCTATTCTTAAAAAGTTACTGTCAACCCTGAATCATCTTTTTCTTACGTGGATATAACATAAAACATAAACCCATGAAATATCTCTTGTATATAAAACATATGCATTGAAATCACATGGAGGAAAATGGATAGATATATTGAATTAAGAGCAGCTCGACCGACTCCAATGACACCCCGAAACTAAAACTGTTCATTGAAATTAATTAAGATATTAATTTAATTAATGCAAATACATGCACCCCTCCTTTGCTCACTGTTCATTGTTTCTAATATTCAATACTATATTTTTGTAATCTGTCTTTTGGTTTTCTGAAAGGTGCTGAAATTTTGATTTTATTTTATTTTTGTCACCTTCTCCATGAAACTGCGTATAAAATATTTCAAGTTGCATATGTAGGATTACCACTCGCGCTCCAATTTTCAGCCTGTTATTTTCAACTGTATAAAAGAAATGAAAGCCTGAAATCAGAGAAAGAATGATTGACGTTGTGCTTTCTTACCATTAAAATGGATGTAACCTTTGAATTTCAATAGCAGATCCCTTTGCTTCTGTCTTTCACTGTGATTTTTGTCACAGCTTTCAATTGGGCTGTACAACGCCCAATGGATTACTTCGGAATGGCGTTTAGTTCCGGGTCGAGTTTCCTTCACTTATGAACTTGAAATCTTACAATTTGTAAACGAGTTGAGTTTCTTCGCGTAATGTCTGGAGGGCCTGCCAATATGTAAAATTAGGCCTTGCACAGATATGCATTTACTGGGCTCTGGCCCAAAACAGTTTCATACAAGCCATTAAGAGAAGCATGCGCGGAAAGCTTAATATATTCTCATCTATTCATTGAAACTACAGCGGTGTTTTTATTAATTCAACCATGGTGGACTTGATGATCATTTAATGAAGTTGACAAAGCATAACTGTAGAAGATGATTATCATTTGTAATTTTTCAATTCAAACTTGTTTAGTTTTCTTTTGACCCAAGCCAACTAATCTTATGAAATTGTTATCCAACGAGGAAATAGGCACGTGAGGTCAATACTAATATAGAAATATGGGTTGGCTAATAGATTAAAAGGAGAAGCAAGACTAGTAACGGCTGAACCTCCTCTGCAATATATTTATTTAGAAAAATTATATATATATTTCGATACCTAATATACCCAGATAAAAATTGATTAGACCCTTGTGTGCCGAAATCAAATCTAAAAGGTATTTAAATTATGATAAGTATATTGCTCAGGTCAATGTCTAATGTTCCATAATTTTTTTGTTCCTATTTTTATTTTTATTTTTATTTTTATATATTGACATTTAAAAGTAAAA